CTTATTTGTAATCTTCAAGTAAACTTGGACATTGGTGTTAGATTTGGAAAACCTCCATCAGAATTCTTTAGAGTAGTTATAAATTTACTACCCAAACCTTTGTGAGCATAAAAAGTTCTTATTACTAATGGCACTGGAACTATGAGGGTTGGGGGAGTGGTTTCCATCAGCCTGGCCTGCACCCTCTCCAATCCAGGACCCCTTAGGAGATGTCTGACTGCTGGTTTAGGCCCAACCAAGCAGGATAGGGCCTAAATCAGCAGCCAGACATCCCTCTCACAATCTGGGAATGCTGGCTCCTAACTGCTTGCCTGCCTGCCTGATCACCCATAATCACCTTTGCCTAATGGCCGGATGCCCCTAACTGCTCCCCTGCTGGCCTTATCACCCCCTAATTGCCCTCCCCTACCAGCCTGATCACCCCCAAACTGCTCCCCACTGCTGGCCTGATTGCCTCTAACTGCCTCTACCTTGGCCTGTGTCACTGTGGCTTTGTCCAGAAGGATGTCTGGTCTAATTAGCATATTACCCTTTTATTAGTCTAGATAGTTTTAATTGCTTCACAACTAACTCACACCTTAAACTATTCCTACTGGGATTTCATCCTTTAAAAAAGTACTTAAAGGCCATCAATATCCTCTAGTTGACAAATCTAAAAGTTTTTGTAAATTATCATTCTTTCTTTATATTTTAACTAGAGGCCTTGTGCATAGCATTTGTGCACTGGGGAGGGAGGATCCCTCAGCCCAGCCTATACCCTCTGGGATCCCTTGGGGGATATCCGACTGCTGGCTTAGTAGTGGTCTTAAATCAGCAGTCGGTCATCCCCTGAGGGGTCCTTAGCACTGCTGCAGAGGCAGGAGAGGCTCCTACCATTGCCTCTGTGACTGACTTCAGGCTGAGCAGCAGTCCTCCTGTGGGAGTGCACTGACCACCAGGGGGCAGCTCCTGAGTTGAGCTTCTGCCCCCTGGTGGTCAGTGCATGTCATAGCAACTGGTTGTTCCGCCATTCCATTGATTTGCATATTAGCCTTTTATTATATAGGATTTTAATAACACCTTTATCAACCATTTTCTCCATCTTGAAACTCTCTTTACATTTGATTTCACCCCCTATAACACAAACATTCATTCTTTCATTTAAAACATTATTTTGAGGGGGCCATTATATGCTAAGGACCATGACCGATGCAAATTCTTTATCCGATTTTTCCTTTCATGTTCTAGTTAGTTTTGCTCACCAAACCCAAACTGTAAATCGAAATATTTCCCAGAGTTTGTTCCCTAGTTTTCTTTCTGCTTCTGAGTCTTTCCTCTGCGAGGGCCCACTCACTGATGACTTGCCATCTGCATCTCTAACAGGAATCCCAGATCCCCACACACACACAGCCTGGGCCCATGTAACTCAGAAATTGTCCTTTCTCTGTTCAAACCAGTTGCTGTTTCTAACCTCTCTCATTGCTCTCACGGTTCTCACAGTGCCCAAGGCTTGGTACCTGTCTATATTTTTTGTGTTTTGCATCACTTCTAACCAGTTGTGAAATACTTTTTCTTCTGAAATATACTTCACTTTCCATTCTCCAGACTCGACCTTGGCTCTGTTCCTTCTCCCCTCACACCACAGCCTAATCAGGCGCCCAGCCTTCCAAGGTGTCTTTCTATTCTCTCTACCAATTCATCTCACACACCATTTGCCAGATAATCTTTAAAAAACATTGCTATTCTTGTATCCCTTGGTTAATCAAAACCCTTCCATGGCCTCCTCTACAATTTATTAAAAAAGTTCTATTTACCTTTATAGTTGAAATGTCTAAATAGATTTTTTTTAGTATTTTGAGAAAACTGCTAGACAAGTAGAAAATACAAAGAAAGGGAAAAGTAATGTTCATATCTTCAATTCAAATTGTTTTTTGATAAGTCATAACAATGGGTAAAATTTCCATCTGAGGCTCATTTTTTAAGCTGCTACTGGAAACAAGGCAAAAGGCCCATGTAAGTGCCATTTAATTGTGGAAATTGTATCCACGGAGGGGGAGAAAGAGGCTTTGCAGCCCCTTCAGAGACCCATAAGGCTGGGGAGGTAGGGTTTCTGGGCACAGCCTTGCAGCTCTGCTCCCTGTTGGTCAGAGACAGCTTGTCCCATCTCTGAAGCTCATGTGGGCTGCTCATGTGTTTCCTCTTAGAGCATTCTTGGTAATGATAAGCCCTCTCTCGCCTCATTCACTGTGCCACATGAAATTAAGTTCAGGCTTCCCTTTAGACAGTTCACAGTGGCAGATGACCAGCTAGATGGGATCCGGCTGGAAAAACACCCAGTTCTGGATGCAATAAAGGGAATGAGAGAGAAGGAAAATGGAGAAAAATAATCTGAATTTCCCACCAATACCTTAAAGTAGTACTCATAGCTCCTAATGTCCTCACAGGGTCTCTGCAAGAAGTTGTCTCTCACATCACATGAGGATAGAGGGTCTGTAGTGAGCAATAGGAAGAAACTGTGGTCCAGAGTGCACTAGATAAGAAGGCTGAGGTGTGGCTTTTGCACTGGTGAGATGGAGGACTGATGACATGTGAGAGTGAGCTGAGAGCTTTGCGGTGAGATAACCCAGGTATGAATCCTGCTGTCTCTCAGACTTTAACTGTGAAACCTTGGTTATGTGACTTCAGTTCCCTAAGCTTAGTTTTTTCATCTTTAAAATGGAGCTCATCACAACTTGCAGAGTAGTAGGGAGGAATAGGAGAAATTAGAAAAATGCTGAACAGCCTGGCTGGTGTGTCTCAGTGGTTGAGCATCAACCCATGAATCAAGAGGTCATGGTTTGATTCCTGTGCAGGCACATGACTAGGTTGCAGGCTCGATCCCTGTAGGGGATGTGCAAAAGGCAGTCAATCAATGATTCTCTCTCATTGTTGTTTCTATCTTCATCCCTCTTTCTGAAAACCAATAAAAACAAACTTTTTAAAAAAGGATGCTGAATAAATGGTAACTATGTTTGTAGCATGGCTATATCCTAAAACACATTCTTGTCATTGTATTTTTACAAGAGCACACCCATCTGATTCACAACAAAGAGGAACTTTCTCATTTATTGGAGACAGTTATATTTTTGTGTTTGTTCCTTGTTTCATGGTCTCTTGTGCCTTTTTTTTTTTTTTTTAGATCCTGAGGTTTCTCTGGCTTCATTTTGACAAACAGAACCTCTTTGATGTACACTGAATTCAATAGAATAATTCCCTCTGCATGTAACTTCAGGTGGTAGAAACGACAAGGAGGGATTTTGTTTCCTTTTCTTTAAAGTCAAAGGCAGAGGAACCTAAAAGCAGAAGTTTGTCACTTTATCAATTTTCTGTGTTCTCTCCCTTTCATCTAAAAGGTACAATTATCCTGGTCAGATGCCGACTAAACTATGGGAAGGGAAACCGTGGGTGGCAGGTGAGAGGCACACGTCTTTCAGCTTCAGCAGGCCTCCTCTGGCTTGATGTTTAGCTACAGATAATGCTGACCAGATGGAAAATAAGAGGCCATAAATACCTCCATGCTTCTGAGGATAAAGTATCAGCCAGTACCCATTTTTGTTTAAACAAAATATCCACGTTGGCATGGCCTTGAGAGATGGAAGTACTTAGCACTAACCTTGACTCTGAACACGAGAAAGGAGAAAAACAAAACAACAAAGGGATCTTGGAGTTGGCTAATCTTCATTTCCATAGCAGCAAGAGAAGGCCTCGGAGGGCCCATGAATGTTACTTTGCATTGAAAAATGAAAAAAATGAATATTTGATGTGAGTAAATATAAGTCTTTTAGTGATTTTCTGGTGCTCAAATTTAGGCATGAATAATGCTCAAGGAATTTTATTATTTTCTGAGGCTAGTGTTTATGTAGGTGGGAAGCACACTACCTGGGGAAAAATGTTCTGGGTCCTACAGATTATAAATATCAGTATCTCCACTCAGGAGCATGATAAAAGAGCTTTCTGGCTACTGAAGAATAAGAAGAAGACTAAAAGTGAATGTTTCTCTGAGGATGACACAGGGGAAGAAGAAAGGTATAATGTGTTATAATGATAACCCAATTCTACATTTGTCACTAATGCTTTGTATTCAGAGCTCAGGACTAAAGAGCGGATGCCTTTCTCCTTGGGAAAAACAGCAGAAATTACATGTAAGGATCATCATTTCAACATCTTTTATTTTAAGATGTATGTGCTTTGGAAGCATACATCAGTCAGGCCTCTAAAGCACTATTCAATGCATGCATTTTACATGGGAACTAAGCAAGAAATACCATGATTTGTTAGAGGACAGACTGAAAATTGAATTTAGGACTTCTAAACTCCTCTTGATATTTTCACTTAAAATAGTTGCATCTTTATGATTATGACATATACAAAATGGAACCTTTTGATTCAATCTAGTTTTTAATCAACTCTAGCTCCATTTAGAAAGGCTCAGCATAGAATTCATAGGAGGTAAACATAAGAAGGAGGTTGATGATACTTAAGTTAGAAAGGGTTACAAAAAGAAGAATCTACAGATGAGAAGAGAGTGCAAGGCTGAAGTGGGGGTAGCATTCACGAGTTTGGGTTTGTCTAATTCTTTGTGACCTTGAATTCTATGATGGGAAAAAGGTTGGATTCTTGAGCCAGGCCACATGAACCTGATGTCTCTGTGTCTACCCACATGTCTCTCTGATCAATCTATGGATCATGTTCCTCTGGATCATGTTTCTGTACATTTTTTATAGCTAATATGGCTGCAAGTCTACTTGGGAAGAGATCTCTGGTCTTCTGCCTATTCTCAAGATCTTCAAAAAGTGTCTGCAGCTTCAAAGATCAAGAGCAGTAAACATTCACATTTATATATTTTGGGAAACAAGAGCATGCCAGAAGCAGGGCACTCAAGACACAATATTTTGGGTTTATTGTTTCTATTGTACAATTCTCTTTCAGCTCAGACATGATTGATAAAGTCAAGTGCACCAGAAAAACACACACATATTTACCTCATAGTTTCTTTCCTGTGTACAGTCACATACATTTCGTAGACTCTCCCTTGGGGAATGGCCCCAGCAGGAATCAGTAAGCTTACTCCTGAGTAGCAAAGGAGAAGAGGAGAAGTTACATAAGATGTATAGAATCAAAGGGGATCTTCACAGAATGCCTTTGAAGTAAGTGAAAGGGAATGAGATTTTGTGGTCACATAGCCATAAGCCTACTTTTTCTCTAAAGACATGCAGATGTTCATGGCTGCCTGGTTTTCTTTCCTTATTGGCCTCATTTGTTACCGCAGCTCCCTCTGAACTGTTATAGAATTAAATGGATGATGTTATTTTTTTAAACTCTTGTTTTATTTAAGAAATAGATAGATGATTCCAGTGTCATTTTCCTTGTAAAAGGAGAGGAAGACCAACAACTGCTCTTAAAATTTCCAACAGCTGTAATGATGCATTGCTTCTAATTAAAAGAAGAATCCCCATAGGATTCTAAGTCAGAGAAAAACTAACTTCAACAAAATAAACATATATTTCTGAAATGTCTGGTTAGCATTAGTGTTATTCCGGGATAGAATAATAATTGATGAAGAACTCCTTTCATTATATATAACTCCAGAAAGTCAACAGAACCTACTAGTTGTACTCACAACCCATCAAACAGGCTTTTACTTAGTTGTGTCCCATTTTGTAGGACATTGCATTGACTTCTGTTCTAGTTAACTGTGCTTATAGCAATGGCTTGCAACTTGAACTTGCATCAGAATCACCTGGAAGACTTGCTAAAACATGGATTACTAGATCTTACCCCCGGATTTTCTGATTGCCCAGTTCTAACAGAACTTGCCGAAACCGGTTTAGCTCAGTGGTAGAGCGTAGCGTCGGTCTGCGGACTGAAAGGTCCCAGGTTTGATTCTGGTCATGGGCATGTACATTGGTTGTGGGCACATCCCCAGTAGGGGGTGTGCAAGAGGCAGCTGGTCAATGTTTCTCTCTCATCGATGTTTCTAGCTCTCTATCTCTCTCCCTTCCTCCTCTCTGTAAAATATCAATAAAATATATTTTTTAAGAAAAAGAACTATATACACGCTTGCAGCTGTAACAAGCTGCTAGGTGATGCCAAGATTGTTGCCTGTAGACCACACTGCAAGAACCACTGGCCTGCACTGTTGCAGCGTCACCTCAAAGAGAAATTCAGGGTGGGCAGCAACCTGAAGGTACTCAGCTTCATGATTTTATTCCAATAAAGGCAGCTTATTCCAACTCACTAAAAATTTATGGAGCAGCATTGTGAGTACAAAGTTTTGGCATTGTTGTTAATGCCAAGAAATAAAAGGGTTCTTATCTTTGAAAAGCTTTTAATTTAACTAGCAAGGAAGTGGAATGTGCCAAATGAGTGCAGGGCAATAAGAAAAATTGCCTGAGCACATTGGAAAGTTTGGAGACGAAAGAATGGAGAGTTGAGGAGAAGTAGGAATTCAAGTCCTGTGTAAAACCGGTTGGAAATGTTGAGGCCTGGCTTTCCTGAGAAGGCAAGTAGTGTGAGGGCTGTGGCACTGTGGGAAGTGCAGTGTTACACTGGTGCAGGGAATGGGCTATTGAAGCAGCCAGGCCACACCTCAGGCTACCACGCCTCAGTGTGGTTCTTTTTTCTGATGGGAACAGTAAAATGTACCTGGGTATGTGCTATGGGGATGAAATAAAATTATGGATGTAAAATAATAGGAAGAAGGCTTGACATACTTTAGGGAACTATTGTTACTCTTTTAAATAAAACTGTGTATGTAAATCACCTATGCTTAGTACATAGAAAGTATTTAGCATATGCTGTTTTCTCCTTTTCAGTTGAGAAGCTTCTATAATAATTAATCTATGAAAAGGTCTCATGTGTAGAAATGGGGAGAAAAGGTAGACTTCAGTGAATATAATTTTAAAAAAACACTGTCTTGTGAATAATATGTTTAAACAATGAAGAGTTATAAAGGATATATTTTCCTATCCATTTGATAGACTATTAAAATATATTTAAAATAATGGTTTTTAATGCACATACAAGAGGATGAAACTTAATGATCAAAAGGTAAAGAAAGCATATCATATAATATATTATCCCTACTATGTAAAATGTATAGAAAAAATAATATTTCATCAACTATTTCAATTTCTTAAAATATACTTTTAAAGATATGGGGTGAAAATTACCAAGGCATTGAAATGGGGGACTAAATTAGAGAAATAATCAAAGACATGTTCATATCCAGACCATAAAGACCAATTGGTTTTCTATGTGTGCTGTATGGCTGGTGACACATTATATGGTTTTCTTATGTTACATGAAAAAAAAAATTGTTTCTTAATGTTGCATTTGCAAAATACTCAGTCTTGTGCAAAGAGTGAAGTGTGATTCACAGTGGAATCCATTAACTCTCTTATGACTCCATAGTTCCAAACTTATTACTATTACTGACTAATGAATGCCAATGTTTAACCATCACACTATCAGTCACTAACTTAAACTCATAATTTAAGTCCTTTATGACGCTTATTCTTTTGAAGCTGATAACTCAACAGTAAACTAAAAACTAAATAATACTACCAAAGGATGCATGTGGAAGCTGTGGTTCTAGATAGCTATATCAGAAGCAGAAGTGAGTATCTTCTAAAACCTTGAGGCTAAAGACTGTGTAATAAAGAGTTAATAAATAATGACTGGATGTCTATTTAGGATGTCCTCTGATCATCTAGAAATTAGTGTTCTGAAGTATTGCTTTCTCTAATGATTTGGAACTGAACCAACTGATAAGTTTTCTAATTAATTTGTCCTTTTTAAGTGGGTTGACAACAGTGAGAGCTTCTGGCTGGATGTGCCTTGTGAAGCTTTGTTAAAAGAAGGTCAGAGACAGTTCTAAATGACACTTTGGCAGAAAGTTGTGAGCATAATATTTATAGAGGAAGTGTTTCCAGAATTGGTTGCAGGAAGATGAATGGTTTTGCTGCTTTTGTCTGAAGGAATGTAAATTTACACTGAAAGTAGAGTTGGGTTAGGTAGACTATATTTAACTTTTCAGGCTTAACAAAAACAAACAAAAAAGATTTTGGTACAGAAAAAAAATGTTGTAAAACTCTATCTTTGTGTTTTAAAACCTTTAGGAATTACCTGAGTTGGGAACAATAAGGTGGCCTCCGAGGGAGTTGAAGGTGCCAAACGCAGTACAGGATGGATCAGTCTGCTTTGCCAGGCTCTGACTCTTCAGGTTCAGGGCCTCATTCTCTAACAAGGACTGGGTCATCTGAGGGGACAGTTTTGATGCAAACTCAGAGAGGTCATCCTGGGGGGTGACAGCACCTGAGGTGTTGTACACTTTGATTTTCAGGTTGGGCAGTGGATCCAGAATTGGAGAGTTGGTCATGGGGATTTTGTCCGAGACATCGTGTAAGGCATAGACAGGCCCCCTATACATGGCTGCAGCTGATGTGAGGTCTGGAGGTACTGCCAGGAGATCTGAAAGAGAAAAGGAATTTATTCAAATTCATACAGTCAACTTACATTAGTCAGTCTTCCCCTGACACTTTCTGAGTCAAAGGCAAAGAAACTCAGCAAATATTAGAGAAGTATGGACTCTATAGCTTTGCTAAAAACAAGGCAATTAGGTGACGAGGATCCATTTTATTATTGGATGAAAATAAAAAGATTCTGTATTTTGCCTTGAAGCCTACTCATTGCTCTGAAGGTATTTAATGATTTCATCAGAGGAGAATCCTAGACAGTGAGCCCCTCCCCCCAGGTGACTATAGATAATAGCCTTCCTTGTATCTACTGGAATTTGGTTCATCCGTACACCACTGTATTCGTAGCAATACAAGGTGTCCTGTCAAAAGAGAAAAAAAGGGGATGCAAGAATCGAACAGTCCATATACTTTTCAAATAAAAGCTAAAAAGTATGACAGAGAAACCCGTTAGAGAATAAACAAAACAAAACAAAACAAAGATTCATGCACCTTGTCAACTCTAACATAAGCGAATGAAGTTAATACAGCAATTAACAAAACAGACCTACCCCCCTAACTTCATGGAGCTGAACTGGCTATTTCACTGATTTTAAAGCCACACAGGGAGGTTACATATTTGCATAAGTTCTAGATGTGAAGTTCAATGCCAACTGACCTTGTCTTGCTGCCTTGATGTTCACAGGCTGAAAGCCTCCATTGAGTGCCGAAGAGTCAATAATGTCAGATTCAAAATCACGGTGATTCTTCCGATACACAAAGAGGGCCACAACCACAGAAATGGCCAGGCAAACAATCACTGCTATCACGATGCCAACATACAGAGCAATGTCATCTGAATCGGGAGCAGCTAGATGGGAGAAGGAGACATTGGGCCAACTGGTTAGAGACATTTCTCTCAGTAGACATACGTATTGCTATAATTTTCTCAGACATTTATTGTCCTTTTTTATAGGTTAATTTCAAATCTAATCCAAAAGCTATAAAATACAACTGTGGCCTTTCAATGGAAAATTATTCCTGATTTCTTTTCCTTCCCTACTCGGCATCTATCCACCCACTCATCTGTCTTAAATGGGGCACCATAACAGATTGTTTATTCCAAGGCATCAAAAGAAACCTTCCTGACCCATAGGAGACAAAAAGCTTATTGCAAATTTCAGGTGGAAAGTTTGGAAGGTGGCTTGAATTCACTGATAGTTCTCTCAAAACATAAACATAAACCCTCTCCTAGAAATATCTGGCATGTACTGAATCTGTATATTTATCGAACCAGAGTGTTTTCCTAGAATCCTTCCAAGTCATAAAATAACTTTCTGTAGCACTCTTCTCACTTTCCCTTAAATCAGTGAGTGGGTGGGTGGAAATGGCGTAACTACGCAAAGCAAATATTAGGGGCAAACATGTTGGACCTGAAAGGTGTGCTTTTAGAATTCCCAGGTCTGAGGAGCAGGGGTCAGCCCCGGTAACTCGGGCTTTTATACAAGCTCAGTATTACCTCTGAGAACCCTGAGCTTCTCACGGTCTCCTGTCAGAGATTACATTTGAGCTACTCATTACTGGAATAAAATACAGCTCTACGGTGTACCGAGTAAGATAAAGGCCTGGTTCAGTGATCAGAAAGGTCTGACTAGCCCTGAAGGCAATTAAGCATTTGACCAACACAGTGTGTGGTCAGATGGGATTGGGGGTGGGGAGGGGGCTGTTTCTGCGTAAACAGAGATGAAAATTCCTGTAAATATTACATGTTGCCTTGGTGGCATAGAACATGCTTTGATCCAATGGCAAAAGGTGATAAAGAAAACAAAACAAACAAAAGTAAAGCTTTCTGAAATCCTATTGACATCTTTAATCTGTTTTTAGTTTTCTGGGACCCATAAAAATGTTCAGCAACGTTAACAGAAGCTTCTTGGCTCATTGTAAAGGAGGTGACTAAACAGGTACTTCAGGTGGTCAACAGCCTTTTGATGATCAATTTTATATCTACATCCATTGGGGGGAGTGCAGATTTGTAGGTCGGAGAAGCCCCTAAGAGCTGAGGAACCACTGCTCTCTCCTAAGACTCTCAGACACAAGCTTTACACAGTGAAATGACTTCATTCAAATTGCCAGTGGCTCAGGGAACCACCTACAGGGTCCTGTCATGATTTCTTGGAAGCACTGACAGTATAAAGAAATTATCTGTTGAAAGATCACTGCATCTCTTTTAGAATTTTGTGTTTAAATGCACTGTATGTGACAGGATTATTTATTTTTTTTTCTTTTTAAACCACTGTTTTTCCCAAAGTGTCCAGAATATCCGCTTTCCTATCAATCAAGTTCGTATGCACAAATCTTTTCAGAAAACTAGTGGCCTCCGTCCTGAGCATGCTTGGTTGTGTGGGCTTTGCTTTCAAAGTGCTGACTTCAGTCTGCTGGATCCTGTCCTAGGCCCTGCAGCAGGATTTGAATATGATATCAAAATGCTTAGTGTTTTATTTTACCAGGCTGCAATTACTTATTTAACATTCATGATTTCTAACGCATGTTCTCAACCCTTTACTTTTTTTTAGCATTTTAACCCAGCCTTCTATTTACATCAGCATTTTTTACAATATGTTTTGTCAGCTACTGGACCCAAGCTTTGGATGTAGGCTGATAGGTTTGAAAGCTGGCAGAGACTCGAAATGACCCTTTCTTCTCTTCCGCGGTGAAAATCTAATTTGCTTTTCGTGTTCGAATATATTAGGCACCTATTTCCTGTGGGCACATCTGTGATCTAAGGAAAGGTAAACTTGAACTGGGGGCAATAACGTTAAAAGATTATTCGGCAACATAAAAACCAAACATCAGACTTACAAGAAAATCCATATTCATTCTGCGTTCTCTGTTCAGTTGAAATAGGATAAATGAAACCTTGAAAAGAAACAAAAAAATGAAACAAAAATAGGAACAAAATCAAATCAACAAGGAACACAAAATAAAAAGCATGAAAGATGGTTAACGAAAAGAAAAGGAAAATCACCTCGGGGTCCTTTAAAATTCAGGTTCAGTATAGAACTATGCTTTTGCATCTCCTTTCTGCTCTGGAGTCTCAGGAAGAATTAATAAGTAGGCAGATTGAATTTCAGAGCAAAAACTGGTCTCGAGTCACTAACTTTGGAGTGCTTAAAGTCTTTCTTTATTGAGCATAACTCTAATGGATCTAATTTATTTCAGACATCATGGGTCATTAGCATAAGGCAAATCTTTTTTCCTTATCCCTGCCATATGCTTTAATTCCCAGGACATATTCAGTAAAGCTCCAAACAGTTTTTATTTTTTTATTTTTTATTAAAACATAACAGCTTGCTCTTGGTCTAATAGAACTAAAGGAGACCTGTTGTCATTGGTCAAAGGTTAAGTACCCATTTACTGAGATGAGCCTCCGCCACCTCTCCCTGCTCCATTTCGGAGTCCCTTTTTTGGATTTTTTTTTGTTGTTGTTTCCTGCCCCCTCCATTTAATGGGAATCCAATAGGTTTCACCCAGGGACGAGCAGTTTGTCAATGCAATGGAAACTGGAAACTTTTTATTTGAAATCATTAAAAAATCAATAGGGCCGCCGGGACCGGTTTGGCTCAGTGGTAGAGCCTCAGCCTGCAGACTGAAAGGTCCCGGGTTCAATTCCGGTCAAGGGCATGTACCGTGGTTGTGGGCACATCCCCAGTAGGGGGTGTGCAAGAGGCAGCTAATCGATGATTCTCTCTCATTGATGTTTCTAACTCTCTATCCCTCTCTCCTCCTCTCTGTGAAAAATCAATAAAATATATTTTAAAAAAATCAATAGGGCCTAGAGGTTACAAGGTTATTTATTTCAGGGCTTCAGAGGAATGGTGTAGATCGGGCAACATAGAAACCTCATCTCAACAGTAAAGGCAGAAATAACTAGCAATCTTATTTTTCAGTCCTTTTAGTATATCTAAAGATAGGAAACAGTAGTCATAATTATTAATAAAAATACCAATATGAAGTAGAAGATTAGCAGAAAAGATTAAAAAATATGAAACATGAACTTTTTGAAATGAAAAAAAAAATTGTGGAAATTGAAAATGTACAACTCGTAACTGGCTCCCGCAGTTTTCTAATATTTAATATGCTGCAACATGAGTTAATCAAATGATCTGGCACTGTTTGGATTAATCAAATGGAGATGAATAAGGAGCATTAAACTTTCCTAGTATTACCCAAGGGCAGGCATGTAGAGGATCTACAAGAATCACAATTAATTGGTTCAAAATTAAAGGTGTGTAATGCTTTAATTCTAAATCGTGCCTCAGGTAGATTTTTTTGGTAGTTTGCAGAGCACTCGGTTCTTACAAGCTATTTACTTATTTGGGGGAAGTAATGAAAGAGAGGTTTGCTGCAGCACAGACAGGTTTGCTTTGAATTAATATTTAATGCTTTACTTTAGAGCAATGATTGCAACCTCCAACTCAGTTTTATAAATATTATATTCCTTACTCCAGGTGTCTGAGTCCATGTATTAGGTCTGATTTTCATTTTAAAAGCTTCTGCCTGGTAATAACCCTTTTCCATTTGTATTCTGTGAACTCAATAATAGGGCATCTGGGACATATTCAGGAACTAGAGAAAAGGTTATTTATTTCTGAGCCTCAAAGACTCAAGACAATACAAGTTCACTGCTAGGAGAGAAGCCCAGATCACTAATGTTGTCCTTTTGGTAGAGATGATGTTAAAGAGGAATGCCAGGAGATACATGTTTTTGGCTGGCGAGGGGGCCCGGAAATTAGTGTAAAGTAGGATATTTGGGCATGATTTTTGATGATCACCATTTTGATAAGGATCGTGAGGGCCTGCTCAGAGAAGCTGGAGCTCATAAAGGGAGAAGCCAACTTCCAGAGAAACAGAGCATGGACTGAAATTTCTCCCTGTAAAGCCGTTCTGGATTTTCTTGGCTTTTATGCCTACTTCCCAATAGAGTCCCTGATTTTGATAGGCTAGCCAGGGAATAATAAATTTTGTTTTATCATTTTGATTTTATCTCAACTTTCTCACATTTATGTAGATCTGGACCACTCCATAAACATTTTTGTGCCTTTTGGTATTTATCTGAGTCTTATATTTCATTGCAGGCACAGAACTGGAATCCATTCATCCATTCACTTATTCATTCATCCAACAAATTCTCTTGAACCTTAATATATGCTGGTTCTATACTAGCCATAGGGGTACAATGACAAGTGAGATGGGAAAAGTCCCTCCCTGCTTTCATTTTAGTTTAGCAGAAAAACAAACAGGAAAATAAAATGGCAAATTAAGATCCTTTCAAATGCTGAAAAAAAGTGATTAAAAAAATAAAACAAAAGAATACAATGTGATTGGACATAAAAGGATGGCAAACTTGGGGAATCAGGTGACAATTTTTTGTTGAAAGAAAGTCTGAGCTGAAGCTTGAACAATGAGAAAGAATCAGCCAAATCAAGATCAGGAGGGAACGATGCTCCATGAAGAGGGACAGTAAATGCAAAAGTCCTGGCATCAGAATAGAGTGGTTCGAGGCCAGTGAGTGATAGGACAAAGGGCCACTCAGAGGGGTGAGCAGCAGCAAACTCATATAGGCCCGGAGTTCATGATAAGGCATCTCAAATTTATTCTAAATGAAGGGCAAATCCTGCAATTGAATGTAATTTTGAAAAGATCATTTGAGTTTCTCCATGGATAGCAACGTGACATCATCTTATGGATGGTTTCTACAACACCTGGCTTGGGAGATGTCTACCAATAGTGATATCCATATATCTGATGGGATGTTTGCATTTGAGGTTGCTGGAAGATAAAATTAAGAAAAGTCTCTCTAACAGTTATTCCTCATAATCATTTAGGACCAATCTAGGCAAACTGTTACTTTCCTACATTGGCATATTTAAAACAGCTGTGCTCAGCATCCTCACCAGTGGGTCAACACCTCAACATACTCTGTTATGGGAACACTGACAAAGGGTTTCAGAGGGCAACTTGGTGAAACGTTTTCCATCCTTTTCTTTTCTAAAATATATTTTATTGATTTTTCACAGAGAGGAAGAGAGAGGGATAGAGAGTTAGAAACATTGATGAGAGAGAATCATCGATCAGCTGTCTCTTGCACACCCACCACTGGGGATGCGCCCGCAACCAAGGTACATGCCCTTGACCGGAATCGAACCTGGGACCTTTCAGTCCACAGGCCGACGCTCTATCCACTGAGCCAAACCGGTCCCGGCCGTTTTCCATCCTTTTCAAAACACTTCTGCCACCCGAGAACTCAACCATTATGTGGGAGGCTGGGAATCAGAAAAGAAGGGCTGACTGTTCCCTCCCTTAAACTAGGGGAACAGAAGCACTTTCTAGTGTTTGTTTTTACAACTTCTCCATCTCTCACAGAACAACAGGGACCATTTTCTTCTGCTAATGAGGTGCGCCTGCGGAGAGTAGCCCAGCCATAATGAAAAATAATATCTCTGGCAGAAAACCGTACAAAATAATTGTTTTCCGTGTCACTATCAGTAGCCTGGTTCATAAGTTAGGGATTTCAGTTACTTTTTCTACTTCTTGAAAGAAAGGCCAAGTGAAAAAGCACCGTGGCTCTTGGCCAAGGTAGTGAATTTGAGTTCTTCAAGTGTGTAGACTTCTGTTTGAATCCTAGCTCTGCCCCTTCCTTCACCATGAGAACTTGGTCAAACTATTGCACTTCCCAAAGCATCAGTTTTCTCATCTGTGTAAGGAGACGGGGGAGAATCACTTCCATACCGTTGTGAAAAGGAGAAATGAGATTTGTAAAATGCTGGTACCTAGCAAGCAATCAATAAATGGCAACTGTATTAATAACATTATCTTGCACAGTGTAAGTACATTGAGATACTGGGCTCTTAATGGATTTTATTTGTAGAGTCAAGGCAACCTATTATTTAATGAGTGACCTTAGGACATTTGTTTGAATTTCAGATCCCCTAGTAATTATAGAGACAAGAAGCCCAGTTTTTCTGAGAAACCATGAGCAATGCACACTTCTAAGTACTGTGTACTTTTCCACCCTCTCCTTTTAAAGAGGTTTATTTCCTGGCCTTTGTGGCTTCTAGCAAAAATATAGTGGTGTGTTTCAGAAGCAAATGTCCAAGACCAGAGTGAAACTTGATGCTAAAACGGTTTGTCAACCAGAGCCAGTGACACTCTTAAAAGGGGTATTTGGAAATGGGGCAGGGGATGTGTTCTTTGATTGCCATAATGATCAGGGGGTCATTAGTGGCATTTAGTGACTGAAGGCTGAGGCTTGCTTGCCCATTGATTTCAGTTGCCTTAGCAACTGCCACTAGGCCACGCTAGTGCATCTACTATGGAGCATGCTCATGCCCTATGACCTTCTACTTTAGTTGTTTTTTGTGTTCGGGTTTTTGGTATTGTTTTGTTCTTTTTTTTGTAATTTTAAAGAACATATACTTTCCGATGGAGAGATTTCCCTGATCTGGGAGAATAGGTGTTGGGTGAAGTTTCACTGTGGAGAAAACTTAAGTGAAGACATGAACAGACAGAACAAGAGGAGGCTGTCCCAGATACTGAGTGCTCCTACCACGAGGAAGCCATGTCACTGTCACTCAAGATGCCATTTTAAGAGGTTATTTATTCCAGCATTTCCAGATGAGGAAACAAAATCCCAAAGTTGAGGTGAAATGTTTTAAAGTTACCAAAAATGTTGAAATTGAAATTTGATTTCACCCTCTTGGCAGTAAGGCTCACGATGTGAGGGTTTGGAATTGTTCAGCTCTGGGTGGCTCCATTCGCATCTGTGTTGACAGTAGATTTGGATTGTCACTATCGCAGTCTTATGGCTCATGGTGGCTTGAGGAAAGGATAAATTTTTCTAATTTTCACCAGGTCTC